ATTTGCTCTTTTACCCATCACTGATCATGTCACAGAGAAAAGCTCCTAACTCGGGTAAACAAAAAGACATGCCCTGAGCAAGTCAAACACAGTCCTTTTTCATTCCAGTTTCGATAAACAACAAACTTAGTGTACCTGTTGAAATGATGCTGCTGATTCCATCTCATGTGACAGGGGTTTGGCGTCAAAATAAACCGAGATAAAGTGCAAAACCTCAGCAGTTGTCTCTGAAATCTAACATTTACATTGGGCTATCACCGTGTCAGCAGATGTTTACTTATGGACATGAAGAGTTTGTACCTATTGTGTACACAGTGTCTTATCTTTGAATTAGCCGTCTTGTAACACAAATCTTGGCATCTGTTGCTGTTTTTATGAAATGCTCATTTGGCACTTTATTAGAAATTTTTCTCATGCAGCTTTTCATGAATTTACCACCAACATCATCCCCTGTAAATACACACCACAAATACAAACCACTCTAAGCATTAATATGGCAAGCATCATAAATCTCATATTACAAAGCTTTTAATAATATGTTAATGTGTAAAATATAGCTAATCTTTAATGTATTTTTTGTCATGTTTTGAAAGTACATTTCATGAGTGTGATTACCTGAAAGGAGCTAAGTTTACATGTAGTAGGTCTTTACTCCTTCTTTACTAATACCTTTGTCTTAATTTATATAGTTATCAGTGAAATCAACTACTTTGTGTCTAAAATGTTCATTCAATCTTCATTAAACTAAAATCACAACTTGGCAAACATGTAAACCACGTTTACATTCCCATCTGAAATATCTGAATGTTTTAATTTCAAATTACAGGCAAAATTGATTGGCTTTTTTGGCCACAGACAGCAAAGCAAAACCGAATCACATCCGGGGTTTTTCTGCCTAATCTTATTTTCCTTAAATTTTCTGCTACTTATGAATCTATGCTCAGTTGGTCCCTGCACTTAGATTTGATGTTTATACCTAATATTTCTAATTATAGTAACATAGTTCTAAATGATTACCCAGTCACTTAGTACTGAGTAAATACTTAGGCTTTCATGTCTTTCTGTACATTTCAAAAGAAAATGTTGAAATCAGCTTTGCAGTATATGACTTGAGGATAATTTCTAATGCAGTTATAACCTTTAAGTTACTTTATAAATATACATGTCATAAAAAATATACAGAAGTCATAAAAAATAAACAGAAGTCACAAATATATATAAAATCTCCAACCCTACTCTCTCACACTCGCAGGTAACATTTCCTTAAGTACTTTTGATAAGTGATTCATTTCTACCAGATCAACAATGCTCAACTCCACAATGTTGTTGTTTTGTTTTGTTTGGTTTTGTTTAAGTAAGTAGTATTTAACATTTATTAAGATAAACATACTTGATGAAAACCCAGTTCATCAACAAACCCGATCACTTTTGGCTGATTTCACAAAAATAATTATACAACAAATTTGGTCTGCCGTTTTTAACCAAATTCAAATTCATTGCAGGATAATTCTGCAGTAGTATTGGTCTAAACCATTCTAGACATGTCTTTCCTGTACTGAACAGACGAAACATTTCGCTTTATAAGGATATCTAAGTCAAAGTAGAATAAAATCTTATTCTAACAATTTCGACCGATTGAATGTCTGAATAACTTATGTAAAACAGGACCCTGTGCATGGCTGGATTACTGGAAAATCCACCGTTAATTATAATGTTGAATGCAGCATGCTTTCTGCGATTAAAAGTGTTTAGTTTAAATGGAAAAAAGCAGTTTGAATACTTACATGTTTAAACTGATGCCATGGGTTTGTGGGCCTTTTCGATATTTCTCCAAAGGATTGCATGCTGTCTGTCGCAGTGAAAAAAAAATCCAGTAGTTCTCTTATCTATGAATGTGGGCGGCTATAGTATAAATGACAGTATCACTCGTTTCACCAGCTTACTCCATCTTCCTGAATTACGTGCACCTAGATCGTGTGGGTCATTTTGGCAAACGAACCCATCCTTCCTTACTGTGCCGTGTGAACAAGGAGAACATCCTTCTTTGCCGCATGGGGTGTTTGAGACGGAGAAGTTAAAAGTGGTGTTTACACTGCCGCATTTTTAGATCCTCGTTCCGTGCGAGCCTTCTGCGCCACTAGTTGAAATCACGTTATGCACGTAATTTAAAAGGCTAACTTTTCAGTGCTCCCACATAACGTTTTGCATCTCAACTTCTTGCTTAAATTGTGTATGGACCGATACAACCCCTTTTTGTTCGTTAATTGACTGTGTTGATCCTGGATCGATTATGTGGCCATACCAGTAAGTTTGGTGGACGCCCGGGACACAAAACAAAATAACACANCTCCTTGCATGATCAATTAACATTACCTTTTCATCACACAGTTTAAATGGTATACTGCATGATGTATTCTTGAAACATAAGTGGTTCTTTCAAAGGCCTTAAATGAAAAGATTGTTATCTTCAGCTTTAGATGCATAAACTGCTTAGACCACCTTAGACCCACCTGTTTGGAAATAGGGCCGCAAAACGGTGATGCCATTCTGTGCTTTTGCTAGTTTACACCCCAAAATATGTTTATAGTGTATATTTAATAAATATTGAGTAAAAGAAGTCTCAAAACATTACATATTGTGCATGTTTAAAATGAGCAGAGAAAAATTTGCTCTTTTACCCATCACTGATCATGTCACAGAGAAAAGCTCCTAACTCGGGTAAACAAAAAGACATGCCCTGAGCAAGTCAAACACAGTCCTTTTTCATTCCAGTTTCGATAAACAACAAACTTAGTGTACCTGTTAAAATGATGCTGCTGATTCCATCTCATGTGACAGGAGTTTGGCGTCAAAATAAACCGAGATAAAGTGCAAAACCTCAGCAGTTGTCTCTGAAATCTAACATTTACATTGGGCTATCACCGTGTCAGCAGATGTTTACTTATGGACATGAAGAGTTTGTACCTATTGTGTACACAGTGTCTTATCTTTGAATTAGCCGTCTTGTAACACAAATCTTGGCATCTGTTGCTGTTTTTATGAAATGCTCATTTGGCACTTTATTAGAAATTTTTCTCATGCAGCTTTTCATGAATTTACCACCAACATCATCCCCTGTAAATACACACCACAAATACAAACCACTCTAAGTATTAATATGGCAAGCATCATAAATCTCATATTACAAAGCTTTTAATAATATGTTAAGGGGATAATAACTCTTCGTTTCGTCCAAAAAATGAATTTTCTTGGAGTAAACAACAATTTTCCCATGCTTACCAATGGTAAATGAATCCATTTTTACATTCAAAGTTAGTCCCTGTTTTTTTTCTAAAAAGTTTGGTTTTTTGTTAAAATCTCTTAAGAGATTTTAACAGAGTATAGCCATCAATGGAAGTCACGTGGTTTAAAGACAAACTCAGATATTAGAATAATAACTATAACTGCCGTTTTTGTGGTAAAACAGAATATATTATATTTCTATGAGTTATTCACAATGTTTTTATTGTGAAATATATTTCTCATACGAAGAGTTATTATCCCTTTAATGTGTAAAATATAGCTAATCTTTAATGTATTTTTTGTCATGTTTTGAAAGTACATTTCATGAGTGTGATTACCTGAAAGGAGCTAAGTTTACATGTAGTAGGTCTTAACTCCTTCTTTACTAATATCTTTGTCTTAATTTATATAGTTATCAGTGAAATCAACTACTTTGTGTCTAAAATGTTCATTCAATCTTCATTAAACTAAAATCACAACTTGGCAAACATGTAAACCACGTTTACATTCCCATCTGAAATATCTGAATGTTTTAAATTCAAATTACAGACAAAATTGATTGGCTTTTTTGGCCACAGACAGCAAAGCAAAACCGAATCACATCTGGGGTTTTTCTGCCTAATCTTATTTTCCTTAAATTTTTTTCTGCTACTTATGAATCTATGCTCAGTTGGTCCCTGCACTAAGGCTTCGTTCACATGCAATGTCTATTTTCTATTTTCTATTTTCGGTATGTCTTATGATCACGGTCTGTGCACTGAATATCCCGCGGCGTAATTACTGGCAGCGCGAGCCAGTTACTATAAGTTACTATAAGTAACTGGCTCGCGCTGCCAGTAATTACGCCGCGGGATATTCAGTGCACAGACCGTGATCATAAGACATACCGAAAATAGAAAATAGAAAATAGACATTGCATGTGAACGAAGCCTTAGATTTGATGTTTATACCTAATATTTCTAATCAACATAGTTCTAAATGATTACCCAGTCACTTAGTAAATACTTAGGCTTTCATGTTTTCCTGTACATTTCAAAAGAAAATGTTGAAATCATCTTTGCAGTATACGACTTAAGGATAATTTCTAATGCAGTTATAACCTTTAAGTTACTTTATAAATATACATGTCATAAAAAATATACAGAAGTCATAAAAAATAAACAGAAGTCACAAATATATATAAAATCTCCAACCCTACTCTCTCACACTTGCAGGTAACATTTCCTTACTTTTGATAAATGATTCATTTCTACCAGATCAAAAACTCCACAATGCTGTTGTTTCGTTTTGTTTAAGTAAGTAATATTTAACATTTATTAAGATAAACATTCTCGATGTTCATGAAACAGTTCATCAACAAACCCGATCACTTCTGGCTGATTTCACCAAAATAATTATAGAACAAATTCGGTCTGCCAAATTCAAATTCATTACAGAATAATTCTGCAGTAGTATTGCTCTAAACCATTCTAGACATGTCTTTCCTGTACTGAACAGACGTAACATTTCGCTTTATAAGGATATCTAAGTCAAAGTAGAATAAAATCTTATTCTAACAATTTCGACCGATTGAATGTCTGAATAACTTATGTAAAACAGGACCCTGTGCATGGCTGGATTACTGGAAAATCCACCGTTAATTATAATGTTGAATGCAGCATGCTTTCTGCGATTAAAAGTGTTTAGTTTAAATGGAAAAAAGCAGTTTGAATACTTACATGTTTAAACTGATGCCATGGGTTTGTGGGCCTTTTCGATATTTCTCCAAAGGATTGCATGCTGTCTGTCGCAGTGAAAAAAAATCCAGTAGTTCTCTTATCTATGAATGTGGGCGCCTTTAGTATAAATGACAGTATCACTCGTTTCACCAGCTTACTCCATCTTCCTGAATTACGTGCACCTAGATCGTGTGGGTCATTTTGGCAAACGAACCCATCCTTCCTTACTGTGCCGTGTGAACAAGGAGAACATCCTTCTTTGCCGCATGGGGTGTTTGAGACGGAGAAGTTAAAAGTGGTGTTTACACTGCCGCATTTTTAGATCCTCGTTCCGTGCGAGCCTTCTGCGCCACTAGTTGAAATCACGTTATGCACGTAATTTAAAAGGCTAACTTTTCAGTGCTCCCACATAACGTTTTGCATCTCAACTTCTTGCTTAAAATTGTGTATGGACCAATACAACCCCTTCTTGTTCGTTAATTGACTGTGTTGATCCTGGATCGATTATGTGGCCATACCAGTAAGTTTGGTGGACGCCCGGGACACAAAACAAAATAACCCAGAAGGGATGCATTCACACGGTTACATAATGGTAGACATACGGTGTTATGTACGGGACAGTGCATTGTTAGGCTTCTGAGTCAACCTTTTGTTGACTCCCGGTGTCAGGCTGACCCACGTGTGATTAACGGACACATATTATTATTATAACAACCATGCATAAATTGGACAATTGCAGTCTTTGTATTAGCACTGTTGGATGCAGGTGAAAGGAGGAGCGCCTCCAACCTTGCTGTAACTAAAAAGAAAAAATGCTACCAAAGCATTTTGCAGAGTTTAGTACATCAAGGAGTTATAACTCCTTGAGTACATGTACCATAGGAAACGCTTTATTTGTCCAAGATGAAATACGCTTTTTTTCTCCTCTTTTTAGCATTAGCGTGGGCTGTATTGTTTTTTATTTTTATTTATTTTATTTTATTTTTTTTTTTTTGGGGGGGGGGGAGGCAGTCAACACTCTGATAGTTCTCCCCTCCAATTTCGGTTATTATAACTCAAAAGCTGGTGCGGTTAAGCACATGTGTTTCTCCAAAAACGTATTTTCAACTGTGCAGGAGACATATATTGGTGAGCAGATTTGCCTGTTGTTTAGCAGGTGCATGACGTGACACGGGTAAGCAACATGTTTCATTGTGACGGCGCATCCTGGGGGGTGGGGCTTTCCCCTTAGCTTCGGAGGAATCCTTTTCTTTGACCTCTCATTTCATTCTTCCAAATCCAACCACCAATAAAAAAGTTAAAAAGTGTTTGATGGGTTCTCACTTCAAGTTGATCCAAGCTTAGTTGCAATTTGTTTTCTTTATGTTTTTTCTCTAATCTCGTGCCTCAGTCTATTTAAATGAAGAACAAATACGTGGACTTGGTATAAATCTTACACGGTCTGCCACTGCCACTATAGTCTAGTCTCACACTCCGTGGCAATTTCTCAGGATTTTGCAAGTTAACAGGCCATCCTTTTTGTGTATTTATAATTGCAGTAAAAAAACTTAAGCGGGCTCTGACAATATTCTTTTTAGCCCTGGATAGTGTGATAAACATTTCTGCTGCTTTTACAAATCGATGGTGTATGTCTCTTTTTTGTCCAACTGAAATTCAATTTAAACGCCCTCAGTCATTTCTCCGGCTATTTCTATTATGACATGTGTTACTATTAAATTACTGTATCATTTATAAATATGCATATGTATATACATACACATTTTAATTTTAATTCACATAAACCTTTAAAACTGACACCCAGTGCGCCATTTTTCATTAATTATCAAATTAACACCCGCTGCTACGAAACATTTTAAAAGCCGAATAAATATCGTTGGCAGCAGTTTGACGTCCGACGGTAGCCTGAGTACCTGATATTTCTGGCAAATGAGATTCACCCTGTGCAATATCTTTGTCTGACAATTTTTGTCGTCATACAAAACCATCGCAAATCATTTTTATGACACCTGCCATCGTTTTGATGGATAGCAGTATATATATATACATGTATCATTGCTTTGTTCAATATTGCTTCATTTGGTTATAAATATATTGATTTTGTCTATCATTATGCACTTTCAGAGACCGGTTTTACCTAAGACCTGTGGAAAATTCGTCTTAACTTCTAGACCAAAAAATGGTCTATTTAGGTTCAAGATTAATCTATGTAGTACATCATCACTAAATGAAGTAAGTGCCCTTATGATACATAAGCAAGGTCTTCTTTGTCATAAAACAGGAGCAACATTTTTATTAATTGGACTACTGATTCACGTAAGATAAAGACAGACTTAACTTTTGGCTAAAAGAGCTGAAGTCTGTTTGTGCAATGGGCCCTATTAGGTCTGAAAGTTATTCTCAGGCTTCGTCTGTAGGGATTTGTAATGATAAATCATCCTGATAAAATCTGGCATTCATCTACCACAAAACCTTGACCTATCCGTTATATTTAACAAAGATCACCGTCGCGGTCCCTGTGTGAAAAGACAGTGACAGTTAGTTTTAAGACAATCTGTATAAGTAAGAGATTTTGCAAGTTAAAAGATATATTTATTTCTGCGGTGCTTTTGGCCTCGTTGCATGCACAGTGCGATGTTACTGTGGAAAAATCAAACAATCAAAATTGTGTGATTTATTTTTGAGCAAAACGATTGGCATACGTATAACTGACAGAGAGGGTGTTTTGATAATTTTTATTATGTTTATTTATAATGTGTATGTACACTTTGGGGCAGAAACAAAAATCATCCGAGCTAAATATGAGATTTGATATATTTTGTACGTCTAAAAGAATCTGATGCCATTCATATCATGTTTAATGAGAGTTGTATAAAATGAACTCAACCGCAAAAAGATGTTCAATCTGTGGCTAATATTTCATACTAATAATAGCATGCGTAAGATGGGGTGGGACGGGGTGATGTCATTATACTACAACCTTCATTAAATTACAATCTGGGGAATGGAGAAATATTGCGTTTTCACAAAAATCGCAGCATAGCACGTTACAAACCAACACAATAATAGACCAACGGCTATTCAACGCAATTGGTTGTGAATTAATTGTGCTAAGCACACCTACCGCAATGCTTTATCCACACTACCACATTTTCCCTTATCTGCGTGTTTGCCATTGTGGGATGTAGATCATGTAGATCTTTACATCGAAAACCTTGTATATACATATCGAAGAGGTCTCCATAACAACTGATTTAAATGGCTTGATGATAAACGTTTTATGATATATTTTCTTCAATATTGATGAAAATTAAATATAGGCTATGTTAATTCCAAATTGAGCATTAATTTTTTTTTGCAAATTCCCCTTTTGTTTCCAAATTCATTTATTATATACTACTTTTTCTACTACTGCCTGTCAAAGGATGAATTATAATTATCGTGCAGTGATTTGCATTACTTTTTAATTAAATGGCATTCTATGCCCCTTTTTGTAGCGCTAATAGATAAATAAATCTCTCAGGCGGCGTTTCTGATTTACCTAACTTTACAGTGACTTAATGCACTATGAGGTCTTCAGCGTGGGTGTTGAGTTAGAATTGCACTATATGGCGTTGGAGAGGACTGTTTATTTTTGGAATTTTTGGGGCCAAGATGACGTCAATTCGATTCGCTGTTACTGAATTACAGAATTGTTACTGAATTGGAATTACATCATCGCTTGTATACCGACAGTAACTTACTGGAAGTGAAGGGACAATACATCATCAGAAGGTTACCGCATTACCAACAATCGCGCAGTGACCCCATTAAGAAGGGCTGGGTGTATGTAAGTGCAAGAGTTTTCAGAGAATGATTAGGTACCAAAATCAAGAACTTGTATGCTGGGAATGATTTATAAATATAGTTGGCTTACATGATTTTTGCCCAGTTTTTCAAAATACAGCCTCAGAACAAGTTGGGCTGTTTCTCACCACACTCTGTCAGAGTTAAAAAAGAAAATAAATTTTGGAGATCTGAACACATTATATAGAAAACGCACTTAAATGAAAAAATGGTGCCTCTTAATTAGCTGCACTTAAGTTCTCATTTATTCACAAAGATTTGGCATATACCACACACATTGCCGATGCCAGACAATACAAGTAATCACATTATTTGAATTACTGATTTGACTTACAAGTCTACCTCCATTCATAGCAAGTTTCCTCTTCATTACACCCGTTTCCCACGCCATTCTCTTGTGCACGTTGTTTCTTCCACCGTATCGCGACCGAACGAAAATCCCACCGACCGTCAACACCAAGATTGGCGGAGATCTTCATTCAGGAGCAATAGGTGTAAGATCGGCGTGGTGCCATATTTTGGTCTGCCCTTAAATCGCAACGATACTCGGGATTCGCTTCCATAAATCTCTGATCTATGTAAGAAGAAGAAGAACCATTCGTTTACAGTTGATTCTTCGTTATCTAACATGCCGAGATTTTTCGGTCCAGTTTTGACGATTCAGTAGTTTTCTTTTTGCCAGAAGCTTGGTTCTTCTCATCAAGAATCTACAACTTCTTGTTCTCCTCATGGTTGGTTTCCCTAGAGTCTGGTGCTGCTGCTTTGTTTGTCGAAAGCGCTGCTCAGTATCCTTCGAAATTCTTTGAATAAATTAAAACCCTTATGCTTAACCTCATACAAATCCGTTCAAACACATAAAATATTCAAATCAAGCCATATTACACATCTAAATTATACACACGTCAATGGTGTGTGAAGCATTTACATGATTTTTAAAGTTTACAGCTTTAACGATGTTTCACAACAGTACACAGTGCTGTCCGTTGTACATCTAAATCTAATGGAAATAAAAGATAACAAGAGGTCAAGTGAATCCTTATCTCGCTATCACCATCTGAATATTTGAAGAGCTTCGTTAACAGCAACCATTTCATAAAACTGGTGACTCTGCAAATACGTATTCAGCATATAGTTTTTTGTCGAATACAATAAAAGCTTTACTTACATTTCATACATCATTTTAAAGAATACTGAGTATATTCTGAACAACAACCTATGCACCTTTCTTGACTGAACGTAGAAATGGCGTTTTGCAGAGAATGTCTCCTACCTGAGATCTAAAAAATGGCGGGATTCTCCCAATGCCAGGTCTCATGTGATTTCACCTACGGTTTGAAGCTCCAACCAACCCTTAAAGCTAGTTGTAGGAGCATAATCACCTGTCAGGTGAACTAGCGTGCCACCCAGCGTCTATTGCCTCTGACCCCTCACTGTTGTTCTAGGGTCTCGTCTCTTACTTGTATGTTTTACCCTTTCACATTATGTCAACGGATTTGAAGCGCAATCGATTATAATTTTACGATCAATTGGTTAAATTTTATACAAGCTCGCTTAATTTGATACAGACATATTGAGGGGGAAAAGAAAGCACGTCCCCCCATATAATTTCGCTATACTCTGCATACCAAAGAGAAAATATGAAATATTTTTAGATTAAACACATTTGTATGGACTGTTCAATATAGACCCG